GAAAAGAGAAATCGATTAAGCGGTGACTGTCTGTCCGTCCGTCCGTCTACGATAACTCGAGTAAAAATTGAGATATCTTAACGAAACTTGGTACGTGAACTTCTTTTGGGCGTAGGACGGACGATATTGAAAATGGGCGAAATCGGACAATAACCACGCCTACCTCCCATATAACGGTAATTTTAAGAAATACGAAAACTGCGATATTTTAGTAACTACTGAAGATAATTCACTCAGAATTGATACTTACAATGAGTTTCAGACGGAAAACATGAATATTATAAATTTTTGGAAAATGGGCGTAGCCACGCCCACTTATGGTTACATGTGTATATCTTGGTAACCGCTGCATCAATTTCTTCCAAACTTGGCACAGTTGTTGGCCTCGATACAGCATACTAAATGGTCGAAAATTTAAAAAATCGGACAATAACCACGCCTACCTCCCATATAACGGTAATTTTCATAAATACGAAAACTGCGATATTTTGGTAACTACTGAGGATAATTCACTCAAAATTGATATTTAGAATAACTTTTAGACGAAAGATAAGAATATTGGAAATTTTTGGAAAATGGGCGTAGCCACGCCCACTTATGGTTTCATGTGTATATCTTGGTAACCGCTGCACCTATTTCTTCCAAACTTGGTTGTTGGTCCTGGTACAGCATACCAAATGGCTGAAAATCTTTAAAATCGGACAATAACCACGCCCACATCCCATATAACGGTAATTTAGAAAAATACGAAATCCTCGATAAATCAGTAAATATTAAAGCTAATTTTTTCAAAATTGATGGTTGCAACAATTCTTAACAAAGAAATACGCTTATGGTAAAATTTTGGAAAATGGGCGTGGCACCGCCCACTTATGATCATATATAGGTATCTCGGTAACCGTTGTACCAATTTGTACCAAACTCAGTACGGTTATTGTGCTTGCCACATAAAAGCATACCGTTGAAAATTGTTGAAATCGGACTAAAATTATGGCCGCTTTTCATATAACGGTAAATTTCAGAAATGCTTGAAATTTCAATATTTTGAAATTTAAGGACGCTAATTTACTTAAAATTTATACACCCCGGCTTATCATGTAGCGGTAGCTTTTGGAAAGGTGGAAAACATATATTTAATACTTGCGCCAGGTATTTAATGTTCGGCTCCGCCCGAACTTAGACTTTCTTACTTGTTCTTTTTCATTTTGCTTTAAACTATGCTACACGCTCGCCTCCGCAAGCATCCCCTCTGCCTAGTGGTTATTATATTTCTGTTCCTCTTTCCTGTTTCGTTCTTATTTTTTCATTTTGCTTTGAACTATGGCAAATTTGGCCGAAGTATGGTGAGACGGAAAAATGTTTGGTATGGTGGCAGCCGCCAGCGTCCGTCGACGAGTGGTATATTTGGTCGACCGCACCCCAAAATTTCTGGCAGCGATTAGTTCACACTGAAAATGCGCCTTCTCATTTATAAACGTTCTCTGCTCTGGTTATGGTGATTGCGATTTCTTATCACCGGCGGGTGAAATATCCCTCATCGCTATTTATTTTGAAAAAATCTTTGGAAATGCAATTTACTTAATGGCGATCCTGCAGAAATAAAAGTAATTGAGCAATTCGGGGTTGAAAGTACAAAAATGTATGTAAATTCCCTGCGTTGAAATTATAAATTTCCCTTGAGGATTTCCATTTTATCGATAGTGATCTCATTTTATGTTTATTAATATGAACTGACCTATATAGTGTATTTATGTTTTATCATCATTGTTTTCATCTTTAACAAAATTACACGGTCACCCGGTATTTATTTTATTTTTTTTTAAATAATTTTAATTATTTTTTTTATAAAATTGTAGCTCATTATCAAACAAAAACCTTGCAAATAAATCGAAA